ATAAAAAAAAAATATTATCTATCTATATAACTTAATTTGATTAGGCTAACTCCAAAATTACATTATTTTTTTCATATTAAAACTATATTAAAATATTATGTATATTTAATGCTTATATCAATTCAACAAATACATAATATATGCCTTAAAATAATGACGAAATCGAAATTTTCATTATGTGAAGTCAAGATATATAAAAAAGTAAACATATAATATATACATAAAAATATATATATTATCTATTTAAATAACTTAATTCGATTAGGCTAACTCCAAAATTACATTATTTTTTCATATTGAAATTTTTAATAAATGTGTCATCATAATTTGTTAGGTCAAAAACTTTATAAATTTGTCATTAAATTCGAAGACGAACTCTAAAATTACCTCATTCTCAGGTTGAATATTCTTATAAACGTGTAATCATAGTTTTTAATTTTTTTTTTTTTATAAATGTGCCACTTCAATATTTTAGGTTAAAAAAATTAATAAATATGTTACTAAATTCAGTTAGACTACTTTCGAAGTTACATAATTTTTCATGTCAGAAAATTTATAAATGTTTCATCATAACTTTTTAGATCTGAGAACTTTATAGATGTGCCACTATATTTAGTTTGACCAACTTCAAAATTATATCAATTCATCATGTCAGAAAATTTTATAAACGTGTTACTAAATTTAGTTAGAGTAACTCTAAACTTATATCAATTTTTTTTATTAGATTATATTATAAATGCGTCATCACAATTTTATTATAGATCAAAAAACTTTATAAACGTGTCACTAAATTCTGTTACGTTAACTCTAAAATTACGTTAATTTTCTATTTAAAAAACCTTATAAACGCGTCATCACAACTTTCTAGGTCAATAAACTTTATAAAAGTATATCACTAAATCCGATTAAACTGACTTCACAAAACGATAATCAAAAACCTAAAAACTTTATTTTATAACTCAATACTCACTAAAATATTTATCATTTGATCTATATTAATAATTTAAAAAATAGAGTAATAAATATTAAAATCTCTATAATAGAGGGAACACAATTTTTTTATTTATTATTGTTTACAAATAAAAACATAAAAAAGGGTCCAATTTGTAGCATATTAAAAAAATACCCCCTGAAGTTTGTGTAACTGTCAAATTCTCAATATATAGTTTCATAAACAAACAAGAATCAACAAATTGTCTCAAAATTCCAAATTCCAATCTCTAATCTTTGGTTATTGAAAACCCGTTTGTTTAAATTCTTTCCCTTTTCATTTTTCCATTTCCAACTTTTTTTTCCGGTCACCGGAAATATTTTCTTGAAATTCCGACGGTTGATCGGAGATGGTTCTACCGGAAAACACCAACTGGTTGTATGACTATCATTATGAAGATATAGTCACCCCTGATGTTAATTTCTCAGTTTCTGGTTATTCTTGGTCTATGCAGGGGTTTAATGGTTCAACTAATGCTAGGTACCTATTTACTGTGTCAAATATGACTTACTGATTCTCTGCTGTATTTGCTATATTGGGTGTTTTTACTTTTAGCTGATTGATGAGTTTTTTTTTTTTTGGTTTGTTAACTAAGCAGAATGGATATACAAGATTCATGTAAAAAAGTTGGGTTTTTTTGGCTGATTGATGAGTTTTGTTTCTTTTAATAAAGTTGGAATGTTGATAAAGGATTCAAATTGCTGATTAGAATCAAAATTTGGGATCTTTTAGCCGATTTAATGAGTTTTTGTTACTTCTCGATAGAGCGGAATATATATAGAGGATTCATATAGTTGACTTCAACTAAAAGTTGAGATCTTTTAGCTGATTGATGAGTTTTTTTTGTTTCCTAATCAAGCAGAACTGATAAAGAAGATTCGTATAACCATTACTGAAAGTTGAGCTCTTTTAGCTGATTGATGAGTCTTGTTTCTTTTGAATTAAGTTGGAATCGTGATAAAGGGTTCATATAGCTGATCTCAATCGAAATTTGTGATCTATTAGCTGATTAATGAGTCTTTGTTAATTTCCGATAAAGAGGAATAGATAATGGGTTCAAATAGCTGATCTCAATCGAAATTTGTGATCTATTAGCTGATTAATGAGTCTTTGTTACTTTCCGATAAAGAGGAATAGATATAAGATTCATATAGTTGACTCTACCTTTTAGATTATTAATTAGTCTTTTTGCTTTTGAAGAAAGAAAAATGGTTATAGAAGATCCATATAACTGTTACGAAAAGTTGGGGTTTTCTTTTAACTGATTGACGAGTCCTGTTTCTTTGAATTAAGCTGGAACGTCGATAAATGAATCACGTTGCTGACCTCAACTAAAACTTAGGGGAATAGATAGAGGATTTGTGTAGTTGATTCTGACTAAAAGTAGGGATCTTTTAGCTGATTGATGAGTTTTATTGTTTCTGAATAGATAGAAAGGATTCATATAGTTGTGTCCAACTAAATGTTGGGATCTTTTAGCTGATTGTTGAGTTTTTTTGCTTCCAAGTAGAGCAGAAGGGATACAGAAGATTCATAAAACCGTCACTAATAGCTGGGCTCTTTCAGCTGATCGATGAGTCTTGTTTCTTTGAATAAAAAAAAAGTTGGAATATATATGGAGGATTCATATAGCTGACCAACTAAATGTTGGGATCTTTTAATGATTTGTGAGTTCTGTTGCTTCTGCATAGAGCAGAATGGATACAGAAGAGTCATACAAAGAGTTGGGCTATTTTGGATGATTAATGAGTCTTGTTTCTTTAAATAAAATTGAAATGTCTATAAAAGATTCATACAGCCAACACCGACTAAGAGTTAGGATATTAGCTGATTAATGACTCTTGTTACTTCTCAATATCCCGGAATAGACTATAGAGGATTCATATTGTTGACTCCAACTAAAAGTTGGATCTTTTAGTGGATTGATGAGTTTTGTTGCTTTTAATAGAGAGGGATATAGAAGATTCTTATGACTGTTACTAAAAGTGAGGTTCTTGTTTCTTTGAATAAAGTTAAAATGTATAAAGGGTTCATCTAGCCAACCCCAACTAAAAGTTGGAATCTTTTAGCTCATAGATGAGTTTATTGCTTTTGAATAGAGCAAAAGCAAAATGGATACAGGATTCATACCAGTTGCTGAAAATTGGGCTCTTTTAGCTGATTGATGGTTTTGTTTCTTTGAATAAAGTTGGAATTTTGATAGAGGATTCATATAACCTTACCCCAACTACAAGTTATCTTTTAGCTAATTGACGAGTTTTGTTGTTTCCGTTCAAAGCAACATGTTGTATACAGAAGATACATATAGATGTTACTGAATGTCCAGCTCTTTTAGCTGATTGATGAGTCTTGTTTGTTTGAATAAAGTTGGAATGTCAATAAAAGTTGGGATCTTTTAGCTGATTCAATCCCTTCTCTCCAGCATATACAATATATATTCAATGCCTTTTCGATTGTGCTCTTACCACTTTGCTTTCTATGCCTATTTTAGTGTTGATATTGATGGCTCACTTGGTGAATCAGACTGCGTGAAGGAAAGCGGTTGTAAGAAAAGGTAAAAATTTTTGCATTTAGGGACATCTTTTTGTGTATTTCCCAAGCATAGAGATCTGATGTTGCACTAACTTGTCACCAGTATCTATCAGGTTTGATTTGATTCGCTACTTGGCGCTTACCATTGTTAAATAAAAGTGACAAATTCTCCCCTCTCTATGTTTCATTTCCAGAGTATTACTCTATTATCTCAAAGGCTCAGGGTTGAGAAATTAACGATCTCATTATGCTTTTTAATTAGGATAGCTTTAAAGATTTTGACTTGTTCTGTCCTCTTGTTCTAACAGCCTATATGGAGGACTTATACTCCCTAAACGGCCTTCTGAAGATTTCATAGAGATATAGCTCCCTTCCCTCCATTTGAAAGTAGTTACTATGCTGGAGCAATTCCACAAAGCTAGTTTAGATTCAAATTCTTGTGATGTAATGATGATACACAAAGCCCCCTTATCTTATTCTTAGTTTCATAATTCTACTATTCGCCTTCGAGCTTTTTGTCTTCGTAGTATTGGTTTTGAAAGGAAATCCAGATGCCCTCTTAATGTACCTACATAACATTGTTTACTCATGTTACCGACAATTGTTACAGGACAAGAGCTGAATCATGCACCTCATCAAGTTCCAAAGCTTGCAGGGAGAAATTAAGGAGAGAGAAACTGAATGAAAAGTAGGCTCACTATTCATTCCTTTTAGAACCATTTCACCCTTTATTTTGTTTTATATATTGCTAAATTAAAATATGGTCTCAGGTTCATGGAATTGGCGGTGCTTCTTGAGCCCAGCAGGCCTCCAAAAACAGACAAGAGTGCCATTCTTGTTGATGCTGTTCGCGTGGTGACACAGTTACGTGGTGAGGCTCAAAAATTGAAAGACTCAAATTTGGATCTACAAGAAAAGATAAAGGAGTTGAAGGCAAGTATTTGTTACTTTCTTTCCATATGCTACTAGATTGTTGACAAGTTTTATCAATTTGGAAAAACAATCTGATGACAAGAAAAGCTAAAACATCCCTTTACCATGATTCTCCTGACTTCAAGTATGTTTGACTTGTGTAGGTTGAGAAAAATGAGCTTCGAGATGAAAAGCAGAGGCTGAAGTCCGAGAAAGAGAAGCTAGAGCAACAACTAAAGACTATGAGTGCACAACCTAGCTTCCTGCCTCCTGCCATGCCTGGTGCTTTTGCTTCTCCAGTTCAAGCTGCAGGAACCAAGCTGGTGCCAATCATAAGTTACCCTGGAGTTGCCATGTGGCAATTCATGCCTCCTGCTGCAATAGATACCTCGCAGGATCACGTGCTCCGCCCTCCAGTTGCTTAAATTTGCTGCTAAAACCTATGATAATTGACTTAACTCCGATATGTTGTTCTAGTTAAACGCTCTTTAGCTGTGTTAGTTTATTCGTCGAGTCCTTTTGGTGTATTTGGTGGATAATAGTAGTTCTCTTGTAATCTTTGCACTTTTAATGTGTTAAATGCTGGTTTTATCAACTGTAAATTTTAGCAGGTTCAACCTGGCATTTACATATTCATTCTTTTCTGTCCTGATTAAATTCTTTGTTATTTCTTCCTTCTATGTTGCGTGACTTCAGTTTGTGTGTGTGTGCGTGTTTTGGGTGGGGGAGCTAAGCTGCGATAACCCGGTGACAGTGCTGTCAAAATTTTTCCATCTCAAAAGAGTTGGAAGAAGTGAGCAGCTTTGATTAGCTGTGTGGTATTATGATTTTGAGGAACAAAGAAAAGGTGTGATCTCTAAATGTGTGATAGATGGGGGTTCTAGTGGTTAAATGGAATGTATTAGATACTGAAAGTATAGCGCTATTAGCGCTTGGTATTCGAATATTGGCTCAAGGCATTTTTTTCTACCCCTTTTTACCTAGCGAAAACAGGGATACTTTGTGTTCTTGAATCAATAACCTAACCATTGAAAGACTAAGCTAGTCTCCTGTCTCTCCGGACCAACAAGGGATATATAGGTAATGTTTTTGAGTGTTTGACATTTTCCAATCACAAAGATCACTGAGTTCTTGAAAGTTTAAAAGGTTGAAATGTCTTGTATCACTGCATTTAGCCTTGAGTTTTCTAATTGCAGAATCCACAGGATTATTGGAGGATTTGGTGTCAAATGTAACAGGAAAAAGGTGCAAGCCAACAATTCATTTGAATGTACTTACATTTGCTTTTATCTATATCATGTAATTAATGAGAACTCTCTGAGAAGTTTTTTGTTTGTGTAGCTCCCAGGGATTTGGTACGTGTTATATGTGGATTAAGCGCACTTCATGGTCATTCATGGTAGGGCGGATGAAGTTCATTTACTGCCCTCGTTCTTTCCTTACGTCTGTTTGGTAATTTCATTCTCTTTTAGGACCTTCTGTTCCTTACATACTCTGAATGATTATACTGAAATGGAAGATTGAGACTCCCTCCATTCCATTTATGTGGCTTTATTTCTTAATTAGTCTGTCATTTAAAAGAATGACATCTTACTACTTTTTTTTTGAACAATTTTACGTCAATCTTTTTATCCTTAATGGCATGCTTCTAGATACACAAACTACGCCACCTAAATTGAATTTGGAAGAGTATCCTTTTTTATTATCTTTGCAAGTATTATTTTGGTGAACCATGTACATTGTATAATATCTAACTACAGTATAAAAATACATTCCGGGAACCAGAGATTGTAGTAGCTTTGAGGTGTTCAAGAATGTCAGGCCGGGGAGCTGTTGCCAATCTCGCGTTAGGGAGTGGAGGAGACCTTCTATGCATGGATCACCCACCTCTCTCAAAATTTCGTTTCTTGATTACAAGCAACATGGTTAACAAATCCCTTGCCTTATTTCAAGTTGCTCTAATATGACAGGTTCTGATAAATTTATCGGAGAAGTTAACGTACTTTGTCCACAGGGATCGAAGTTGAGGGAACGCTATATCTAACCAAGGTTTTGCTCGACCGTTGAAGTGGATCACACCTGCACTCTTAGCATCTGGGATGCTCGTGTTATCTTGGTACCCGAGTCCTAGCATGTGCCAAAAGGGATCGATAGCATGGACATGACCATGAAATGCAATTAGTCCCGGAGGTAATGTTCCTAGCTGCCACAAACTTAGATCTGACTTCAAGTTCTGCACAAGAAAAGGAAGATATATCATCATCGATTTTTTCAGCAAGTACGTTCGAGCATTTGCAAAAGATTAACTTCCCCTTTCTATATTTAGAGATGATTAACATTAAGCATCCCATTTTAACCTTAAACGAGATGATCTGTAGTTACGCAAATATCTCTGACTTGTTTTAAATCATAAATTTCAACAGTCTTTCTATGTTTCTTGAACTCCGTGACCAGTCAAAGTTCATCACGTAAATTGGGACAGAGGGAGTACTAGTTAAAACAAAATGCTTGAATGTTGCATATTATGTTCAAAATGCATTTCATTAAATTAACAGTTGATGTCACTTTTAGAGTTGTAGTTAACCTGTTCGAGCCAGTAGTGGTATGCCTCACTTATATTTGTTTCTCTCCATGCTTCTAGATCAAAAATGTTCATGCCATAGGCCCATGCACATTCATTAGGATCAAAGTTGTTCGATATGAGAGGATGAGAAAAATTCAGATAGCTTTTAAAGCGCTTCGCCATCACAAACTTGTCCTCTCCCCTGCATGTCTCTACCGCTCCATTCACCTTCCCGTTCATGTCAATGTCCCATAGAGATGAAAGATCGGTTTGAATGACAATGTCATCGTCCAGGAAGACTACCTTATCAAGACTGGGAAACAACTGCAAAGACATTTCTACTTCTCAGCATTAAAATTTAAAGTTTTTCGTAGAAGGACAGATGAACGTTACATGCAACTTAAGTGAGATTCTAAAACTTCCGTTACCTCTGGCAAGTATATCCTTATGTGGTTCATCAGAGAATTGTATTTGGGACTGAGTGCTTGCAGTTTTGCTGCAATGATATGAGGCTTTTCGGTTGTGTTCGCTACAATTGCTGATGACCCTCCCCTGAATTGTGATCTTGCTTTTTGGTCTTTCTCCATTGCTTCCAGAACTGGGACCTTTCCCTTTGTTAACCAATCGAAATGGTGCAACGCTTTAACCTCGATGATTGCAGGTGTCAAAGAATGTAACGAAAACCAAGCTTGCATCGGTGAGAAGGTTTTGCTATCCGTGATAATGTGAAGGACAACTTTCTCAGGGCGGAAAGAGTTCTGGACAAGCGATGATGCAACAACAGAAGCAGCAAGAATATTGTCAGAGGCTAGGACAAAATGGAAGTATGAATTATCAACAAGGGCGGGAACAAGTTCCGGTGATGGTAACTGGAGACGGGCATTGGCGTTGATGGAGTGCTCATGTGCTAGCTTGAGATCAAGGCAGTGCAGCTGTTTCGGGATGCCACTAGATGCTACATGCCGATAAAGGTATTCTTGAATCTTGGCAGTTCTTGTTCTTTGTTCAAGGAGTGTTACCTGCAAGAAATAGACATTCATTGTTGAAAACGTAATTTGGTAAATAAGAACGTGCTCTCTCTAAAAGTTTAAGCCTTCCGATGAGATGGTCATACAATTCAACACTATTCAAGCCTTAAGTGGTTAATATGAGTACATTGTAAATATCTCACGACTTTTGCTTCATAATCAACTGGTCTGCCTTCTAGTTAATTGTAAAGCCGCCAGGAAAGTTTTAACAAAAAAAGGGCAGCCTGGTATACTGAGCTCCCGCTATGCACTGGGTCTAGGAAGGTCAGGAAGACATTGTGTCTACTATAAGCAATGTTACTCGGACTTCCTAAAAATGTTGTATCACCCATGTCGGATTCCCCAAATATGCACTACTTTTCAAGGATCCGACACACACATCCATTGGCAATTTTGAAGAGTCCGAGCAACATAGACTATAAGAGTCTTATGTTATATTTCCACAACTTGAACCAGTGAACTCCTGACAGTAGTCAAGAAATTAACCAGGGAAAGTTCTTTGTCCACATTTAACTTGTTGTCTACGACAAAATATGGTACCTTAAGTTAACTTTATCGCTATACATGATGGAGAACGCGTGATAAGTACGTAAATACCATAGTTTTAAGCTTGACAGCAAAAGTTTCTGCATCTGGCCTTGTGTCCTTCATTTCTTCCATAAACTCTTCCAACGATTGAGGAGTTTCCGGCCCTTCTTCGATTTCAATCTGGTCTGTAGGTTCCTCCAATACTTGATATATCACTTCAGGTACCTAACAGAATACGGGAGAATAGATATTTTGAGCTAGTGATTTTAAGTAGAAGAAAATGGCTCTACAAAGATCTCCCGTCTTTCATATACTGTTTGCCCATAAAACTTATTCCTCTTAGATGAGCACGGCTCAAAGGGGATTTCAAAAATAATATGCGCAAAAGGATGAAAATAGAAGGCGTAAAATCATACTGTTGATTCGAGCTGTGACCCCAAAATCCTTGGTCCAATTTTTCTCCCCAAGCACCCTGCCTTAGAATGAAATTTAGAGTTTCTTCAATGGCAAGCAGTGAAAATGGCTCTCACATCAAGTGAAAAAAAGAAAGAAAAGAAAACTGGAAAAGAAATGGTGGTATAAGTGTTATATTGATACTCTTTTTTCTGAATATATTGAAGACATAATACATAGATAGACACCTTAACTTGGTCTCAACTGACAACTATACACCTCGACTTTGAAAATGAAAATCTAAACGCCTTAACTTGGTTTAAGTTGGCCTCGTAAACACCCCAACTTTGAGAACTCACATCTAGAATGCACCCCCTCCCTTCCCCCCCAAAGTCTAGATATGTTTGCGAAGTTAAGTTCTTCATGAGATGCACTTGTGTCAAGCTGTAGTATGTATACAGTCACAATGAAAGTTGGTGTGTTCAGTTGCCAGTGGAGGCCAAGTTATAGTGTCTATCTATGTATTATGCCGAAATAGAACAAGTGTTATTCACTTCTATAAGCTTGCTGTCTTAGTATGTTCAATCAATGAATCTGTAGATGTTTTGATTCATCTACATGTTGCAAGAGTTCTCTGGTAAACGTACGAACACAAAGATGATCAGCATAATTTAGTTAGTTTAAGTTACAACTACTTGAGCAGTAAGAATAAGGGCAGACAGGTGCACTGAGTACCCCGTGTTCATGCAGGGTTCAGGGAAGAGCCGCACCTTAAGGTGTGATGTAGGCAGCCTACCTGATGATTGCATCAGTGGCTGATTCCACAGCTCGAACCCGTGACCTATAGGCCAAAAATAAACAACTTTACCGTTTTCACAACGCTCCCCTTCAACAACTTGAACAATAGTGTTCTTGGATATTAAACCTCAAAACCTTTTTTTTGTATTGTGAAGATTCTTTAGTTTCCTGATGTATCTACAGACTGCTATAATATCATGCTGAAATATTTACATAACATTCTATTATTAATGTTTCTAATATCTGCAATAAATCAAGTACTATATTATAAAGATCACATATTACCACAATCTTTTTTTTTTCCTAATACAATTTCTTATACATGCCTCTTGGTAATGGCGAATTCCACTTCTGTTTCAGAGGGAGAGAGGGAGAGAGAAACGTACCTAGCGTGGAACATTTTCGTTCTCCATCTATGGTGTCTTCGGCCGTTAACACGAAGACAAACCTGAGAAGAAACGTAAAAAGCAGAAGCGAATAGAAGACCATGAGGTACGATATTCTCCTCGAACCAACTTTTACTTTGACAAACTCCTTGAATCCTTTAGCTGGGAGGACAGTAACATGCCTCAAACTCGGCGATATAAGGAGTTGCATTGTATGTTTCATTCAACTTAACAGAGAAAAAAGAACACAAAATGTTGGTACTATTTGTGTTCTTCTATTTTTTCATTTGGCAATCAATAACTCTATACTATAATAAGTTGATTGACTATGCAAAGGTTGTTGATGTTCAAAGTTGCTGTCATTCACCTAACCTTGCTTAGCATGAAGGTTAAACATGCATTTTTTCCCAAGTTTTAACATGTTTGCATCAATTTTTGACTGAGAAAGAAGACTCATGGATTGTAGTTGTTGGTTCATTTCAGAGTTTAACTACTATACATTGTCAGCGTATAATAAATAATTGTCTCGTAACTAATCCGATGTTCTTTTTTGGTGATTTTAAATAATACTTGTATTATGTTACGTAGGAATTTATGTATGTGCGGATGATTTTATGCACAATAGAATGTGTGAATGAGGATACCGTTTATGTATGTGTGAATGGTATTATGCACAATATATTGTCAGTGTATATAAGTGAAATCTTCTTTAAAAAAAATATAAGACTAGTAAAGGTGGCAGCTGATTAGTGGATTTAATTTGCTTTGATTATCATATTATTCGTTGTTGCCATTGCTTTTTCTCTAATATTTCGATATAACTTCTTCACTACTGTATTTCCTATTTAAAACTTACTTAAACTTATTTAACCAGAGCCGAGGATCTATCAGAAACAACTTCTTTACCCTCTTTACGTTCTACACATACCACTCTTCCTAGACCGCATTTGCGTAACTACGCTGTATATGTTGTTGGTTTTGATTTTTGAAGGTGGGACTGAAGAAAGTTTTTTTTTTTTTACAAGTGTTTAAATTAGATTGGAGAAAAATAGTTTGGTGTTGTTTCACTTTGCCTTCATGTGAAGTTATGAAATATTGTAGAATTTTTGGGCTTTTTTCTATGATTTGTACAGAGTTTCTAAATGGACAATGACCTACTGGCTACTGTCTACTTTACTTACTTTCTTGGACTGTCTTTATCTGCAAATCATGGTGTGGTTGGGTCTAATAAACTAATTTAATTTAGATTTATATATACTGATGGTGTAAAGATTTTTTTGGAACGAAATGTTTATCTTAAGATATATTGTACGCCATACGAAATATCTAACAGGTATGTACATTGTGTACTTTTTGTACAATTCACTTGTTATATGTGATTTAATAGTTTTGAGATGCACACAAGTTGCAAGTCTTATTATAGAAGAAAATATCGTGAATTTTACGTTACCGTTTCATGTAACTATATAGATATATGTGATGTTTTATCTGCTAAATGCAATCACTGATATATTACAAAGATAAACACATACATATATAGGACAAATCGAAAAAAATCGTTGAAATTTCAAACTATATCAAAGGATGTAACGCAACAGATTAAATTTCTTCTCCCTTAATCAAAGATCTCAATTTCAAACCTTGAAGTACGGAAAAAAATATAATTCTTCTAACTATACCAAGAATATACCGAGTGGTTTCAGTTTGGGTTGTGCACATCTCAATAAATTTTACAGGATATCGATCGATTCCCATCCATCAACAATAGGTTTCAAGTAACTATGTTCATCAAGACTAGAACGGATACGAACAATGAAAGTTTTACAGGATATCAACCGATTCCCACCCATCAACAACAGGTTTCAAGTAACTATGTTCATCAAACGGATACGAACAATGAAAGTTTCACAGGATATCGACCGATTTCCACCCATCAACAACAGGTTTCGAGTAACTATGTTCATCAAGACTAGAACGGATACGAACAATGAAAGTCGAACCAACAAAAACAAAAGAAGAAGAAAAAAAAGAAACTTAGAACACCTGCAAGAGATGCAAAATAAATTCAAGGTAGCTGCTAATCATTAACATTGTAAGTAAACACTAAAAATAACTGTTTTATCACAATGGAGGAGAGTAAAGGGAGCTTAATATTCCCAGATAACACAACACGATGCTTTAAAATCGAACGAGAAGAAGTAATACAAAATTCATAAGTTTCAGCTGTTACTCGTCGTCTTTGTAAGGATATTCCTCAGGAACTTGCTTCAGAAGTTTCAACTGCAGCTCGAATGCATCATCGCCTCTAAGCATGTCACGGATCCATGTGACTTCAGTCTTCATCGACACCTGAACACAAGGTAAACACAGATAAATTTGAAGCTCCAATAATAGGTAAAATAATCGTGACACTCTCAATTCACCCTTACTGAAGAAGATTATACAGTATTCAGTATAGTATATATTTGCTTCTCATATCCTGCAGCAACTCGCCTACTAAACCCTAACGATTACTAATGGACCAAGGGGAGACAATTCAGATAGATTATAAAGATCCCTATCTAACATTTCTATAGTTAGAGAGACTGCAAGATTGGAAAATAAACTTACCTGACTTAAGTATGACATGAAATAGACAAGGAATGCAATGCACTGCTAGATTGACACTTTGAAAGCAAAGTAAAATGACAACAATGTAACATAGTTCATAATGTTTCTATTTAGGAAAAACACCCTTTTAATTGCACACTTTTCGCCATTTCAGTAGGGAAGACAAGTCACATTAGTAACTCCTATTAAAGCTTGACAGTAAATGAGGACGTCGTGTGTTGATATCTATAAGAGGTGTCTTCTTCTCAGAGAAAGAGAGGGAGAGGTGATCAAAGCATGTATGTTGTGTGAGGCCAACGTAAAGAGAAAATTGGTAATTAGCAGATGCAATAGAAGGGGGGAAGCTCACCATCTCTAATGCCCCTCTGATTACTCCACTTAAGATGTTACAATAATATAGACCTTGACATGTATCAGGGAGCTCAACAAAGTCTACCAAGGGGTTGTCCTCCAGAATTAAACTGCACGTTGTTCCCTCAGCATTCCAATTTCCCACAGTTGCTGTGACACCTAGGAACATTTTGAGGCCAACCTGTTCATATGAGCAGCAAGAAATCATGTTTCCTAAAACAAAAAATTCAGCATAATTTTTGAAAGGGTGATCAACTACGTCTAAGTGTATGTTATTAATAAAATGAACTTGAGAATATGAAGGGTAGTAAGAAGTGGAGATGCTCAGCTCAAATATGACACACAAACAACTATATATTCTGCTCACTGCCAATGAATACTGGCAGAGAAACAACAATATAAACTGATCAACCCATAAAACCAACTAGGAGATTCGTTCCCAACTTTTTTTGCTAACATCTGAAAGACATAAGCTAGAGAAAAAAGCATTTAATACATCCTTCTGCATACTTTTTGTGTATGTGTGTTTGTAGGCATGGACACCATCAATCTTCCATTAAAGAGCAAAGTGTGAAAGGATCATTGGTGGTTGTATTCACAGTAACATTTAGAATTTGAATTAAGGTCCATAAAACTTATCCATCCTTGTAGCGTTCACTATATTTAAATTTGAGGATTCTCTAGGAATAAATATCCAAGAATCATCAGTATCATATCCTAGGGGTGACAACAATCCCTCTAAAAAAGGGGGCAAAGAATGACCAGCCACACTCTCATTCTCTATTTTCCCTTTCTCCGTATTTTCTCTTCTGCTTGCTTAGAAACCCAGGGCAAATCCATGACCATACACCCTCCAGGAAATTCCCGTGGCTCTTCACCCCCCCCCCCCAACCACGCACACACTCACACAAATCTCTCATAGTTTCTAACTTTTTTAGTGGTTAACTATATTTCTCAACTTTGAAATGATTGAAGAAAAATGGTGGCATGAATCTCTATTAAAAAAAGAAAGAAGTTATGCTCTTGTATACACCTTTTCTAATTTGATCAACTCTTTGTTTATGTACTATAAAGAGGCTTGAAAAATGAAGAGCTAATTCTGTAAAATTTATATGCTCTTTTATGCATTTTCTCTTCACTTGACATACTATTTACATGACCCCCTTAATAGATGAAAAGAAGAAAGAGTTATTCAGTTGTATAGAGAAACCGAGGATTACAACCACATGACCAAAATTGCTCTTTACTTCGTTGTTCAAGTCAAACTGCTAATTATTTGAGAACAAGGCTTTGGCAGTCAGCATAACAGTACAGCTTCCAGAGCAAGGTACTTGTTTCAAACTTTTGCCTCAATTCTTACTTCAATTTCAAATCTACTGCCACATCAACAACAACAACTCAATCCAAGTAAGTTGCGGTTGACTATATGAATCTTCACTGTCCATGTCATTCCATTTATCACATCTCGGTGATTAACCTCCATAACATTGATTAAAATTTACACTTCCATAGTATTCCTTCTGATACTTTTGAACAACTCGGATTTGTATTGGCTACTGGCATGTGTGGGATATCAGAATTCAGAATTACTATTCCAAAATAAAACTGAAACTTCATAATAAACCAACACACATTAAATATAATGCAACTTGGAGGGGGAAGAGAGACCTTAGCAATGACTTCAGCTGTTTCCTTGAAATCAATACACCTAGATACGTTAGACTTTGCCAGAAACTCATCAATGAGCCGAATTCCAATGTTATAACCCCTGCAATCAGTTAAACTTCTCAAATTTTGTGTACTTCCGAGCCAATACAGTTAAATTAAATTTCCACAGACAATTACATTCGATATCAATCTACTATGCCTCAATCCTAACTAAAGTGAGCTATATATGATCCTCTGGATCCAGTCCATGATTCATCACAACTACAATCATCCTCGATTCTAAAAAAATTGGGGTCGGCTTATATGAACCTAACTTCTTCATTTAAGCTCATTTCATAGGATACATCATTAATAGACTCGACTCACTCAAACCTTGACTCTCCCCATTTTTCTGGATTTCGGATCACATAGATAGTGTTCAATTGGAAGTTCAATAACACTACCAAAACAACTATTACCAACCCACAACCTGGAAAACAAATACTACATTTTAACCATAATTTTTGATGGGGAGAAAGGAAACTAGATAAAGGATTTACATTTGATCAAGATGTATGGTCAGCTCTTCAACCTTCTTCATATCAGCTTCAGATCACATATAACTAAGTTCAACTGAAAGTTCTATAACAATAACGGAACAACGATACCAGCCCACAACCTAGACCAACAAATAATACATCACCTGGTTTTCTCCCCCTCAAATACTATAGTAAACACAATCGAGACGAAAACACTAGGTGATTTCCTTCCTCTTTAACTAGGCATCGAATCACATAGCCGAAATTCAATTTGAAGTTCTATAAAACTAACAAAACAACTAAAAAAAACCCACAACCTGGAAAACAAATAAGCGCATTACCTAGTTTTCTCTCCTTCAATTACTATAGTCAACACAACTGAGAGACAAAAACACTAGGTGATTTCTTTCCTTTTTATCTATGCTTCCGATCACATAGACGGAGTTCAATTCGAAGTTCTATAAGGCTATCAAAACAACTACCTACTCCCTCTGTCCCAATTTATACTACACACTTCTATTTAAAGATTATTTGTTTTAAGTATAGTTGAAACATTACAAAGTCTTACCATATTCTTACGTTCCAGTCAAACTACATCACATAAATTGAGCCGCAACATAAAAAAAGATACAAGTAAAGGATTTACATTTGATCAAGCTGTTTGTTGACTTCCTCAACCTCCTCCAGATCAGTAAGCAGTTGTCGCACGATCGCACCGTACGTTAGGGTGAAAAGTTCAGCATTCTACAGAGGACCCACAAAATTAATCCAACATTTAGTACCACTCGTTCCAATTTAATCGAAAAAAATCTCAAATTTAGTCTGAAAAACTCAAATTGAAGGAAAACTTACCACTCGTTCAACGTTGGCGAAAATGGCGTCGCCGGATCTGGGAGCTACGGGAGCCATTATCAGAGCTCTGAGAATTTGGTGCTGATTTTTTCCGATCAACTATGAGTGAGCTAATGGATTTTGTAGAAATAGAGAGAATATTGCATAAGATAGCCACTTTTATGATGTTTGTTTATATTTTAAGCAAATTATTTGAGATTTAGCCCAATTTTAATAGATGACCACATATTGCTTCTTTTTTTTAAAAAAAAAATTAATCCAATTTAATGTTTGATTAATTCAGATACGCATCACGTAAAGATTATTTGTAAGAAACGCTACACATCGAGTATTCATTTTCGAAACCAAGACCTCTTTTGTGATTTAGGTGTAAAATATAAGGTGGTTAATGTCACGATCCAAAAATGAATATAACGTTACTTGTCTTATCCCACCACGACAAGTTAGCTTAAAATTTAATTTGATAGATAAAACGTGAAAAGCAAAGTCACAATAAGATATATGCGCTTAACTTAACCATACTCATAATATATCTAAAACTTGGTTGTCGCGTGTACAAGCCCTAATGTATTATAATTGTTTTGAAAGAAAATACAAGACTCAAATGACATTTGTCTCTAAACTAGAACAAGATCATAAATATGACTAAGAGGGTCGGATGAAATGACAAACAACTACCTCACAAATCTCTACTCGGACATGAAGGAAGAGAGGTTATCACAAAAATTCAGGTTCGTAACCTACACAAATGTAGAAGAAAGGGGTGAGAAGCAAACAACGCGGTACTAAACAAACAAACTCCTAAACACGAAGTCAAGTAGTGTAAATATATTTTTTTTGTTTTTCTTACCGTGAATGATACTCGTATTGAAGTTCCATTAATTTGTATTTGTGATATATAAAGCTCATTCATGGGAAATGTCACCTATCAAGAGTTTTTTCATACACAACACTTTAGGCTCAAAATCAAGATCTTTGATTAAGAAAATAATAGTTTCGTCTACAACCCACTATCATTTAGTGCTCAAATATTGCTTCTTTTTCTTCTTATCAGTTGAAGTTAGATTTTTCAGTTTAAAATTTTAGAACATCGTGCAATTGAGTCCATTTTATTCAATTCAAAGTTTAAGATTTTTGACTATAGCATCGTAAAGTTTAATTTTTTAAGTTTATACCTTAGAGATATTGTATCCTAAAATCGAGTTGTGTGATTCGAACTTACTATTGGTAGAATAATTATTTTGATTAACCATCAGATGAAGTTGCCCCTTTCATAACACATATCACGATTAAGTACGAAAAATATTTCCTAACATAATTTAAATTAGTCGAATTCTAACGAATATCACACCTAAATAGATCTCACGTGATAGAAATTTGACTTAGTCAGACTCCAATACTCGCTCAAAAATAAAATAAAATAAAATAAATTGATAATTATGTCTCAACTACTTTGGTTGGATTTGAATATTGTTGTTGTTGGATTATTATATAGGAAGTTGCCATCCAAACGGCACCTAAATTTTCTCCACCGATCAAAGAAAAGGAGACGTGTCATACTATTATTGGTTACTTCATTGGCAATTTCTTCACAAATTGGCCATTAACAACTATAAAAGGAGGCTCTCTGTAACCCCAATTCATTCATTGATTTCTCATCTCTTCAAATTCTTCAGAAAAAAAACCTCTCAAGGTATACTTTTCCTTCTTTTTAGTTTTTTTGTTTATTTTTTCTATATTTTGTGCTATTTGTTTTGTTGTGTCTGTGTTTAGAATCAGAATTCTGTTTTAAAAATTCAATTTTTATGTTGTTTGAGTGCTGTGTATGCTTTAATTTTCTGTATTTTTTATTGTGTCTGTGTTTAGAATCAGAAAGGGTGTTTGAATCTGTTTTAAAAATTCAATGTTTATGTTGTTTTAGTGTTCTGTATGCTTTAATTTTCTGTATTTTTTTGCTATTTGTTTATTGTGTCTGTGTTTGGAATCAGAAAGGGTGTTTGAATCTGTTTTAAAAATTCAATCTTTATGTTGTTTGAGTGTCTGTATGATTTAATTTTCTGTATTTTGTGCTATTTGGTTTATTGGGTATCTAAAAAAGTTGGATCTTGATTTTGTTTTCAATATTCTGTATGCTTTAGTTTTCTGTTAATTGTGTTATTTGTTGTGTTTGGGTCTGGTTTTGAATCAGAAAGGGCTTTTTAATTTTGTTCTAAAAGTTAAATCTTGATTTTGTTTCAACCTGGTGTGTGCCTTAGGTTTCTGTATTTATGGACTTGGAAACCTTTTAATGATCTAAAAAGATTGTATTTTAGTTTTGTTTATGAGCTGAAAAACCATACAAGTATGATCTGAAAAGTTGAGTCTTGATTTTGACTCAACTTCTGTATGTGTTGTTTTGGTTATATGATAGCCGCTGCTTCATTTCGTTTTCTGTTTTTTTTTTGTTTGTGTGAGCTGAGTTTCTATAGCAATTTCGCATACACCCTCTCCGTACTCCACTTGTGGGATCACTTGCACAATCTATATTGTTGTTGTTGTATTTTTGACCTGTGTGTTTCTGTTGTTTGTTTGTTTATGATATAAAGAACCTTCCTATTTCTATTTGTAAGAACTCAATCTTGATTTTGGTTTCAATTTTTTGTTGATGCACCAAGTTGAATTTTGTGTGGTTTTTAAAATAGCCTCTGCTTATCCCTTTAAATTTCTGTTATTTGTGTTGTTTGGTCTGTGTTTATGATCTAAAGCCTGTCAATTATTTTGTTTTGAAAAAATTGGAAGCCTTCTTATTGGATGATGATTATGAATGGTGTTCTGTTGGGTTTTGATTTGTGATATGAAATATCAACTTTAATCTGTCATCTCGTTTTATAGAGTCATGTCTGTGTCTATTCGAGTATGTGTGCTTATTTTGTTGAATTTTGTGTACAGATGCAGATATTTGTTAAAACCCTCACTGGAAAGACTATCACCCTTGAGGTGGAAAGCTCAGACACCATTGACAATGTTAAAGCCAAGATCCAGGACAAGGAAGGCATTCCCCCAGACCAGCAGAGGCTGATCTTTGCAGGAAAGCAGCTTGAAGACGGTCGTACTCTAGCTGATTACAACATTCAGAAAGAGTCAACTCTCCACTTGGTGCTCCGTCTTCGTGGTGGCATGCAAATTTTCGTGAAAACTTTGACAGGAAAGACCATCACCCTTGAGGTTGAAAGCTCTGACACCATTGACAATGTTAAGGCTAAGATCCAAGACAAGGAAGGCATTCCCCCAGACCAGCAAAGGTTGATCTTTGCGGGCAAGCAGCTTGAGGACGGCAGGACCCTTGCTGATTACAACATCCAGAAGGAATCAACCCTTCACTTGGTGCTCCGTCTTCGTGGTGGAATGCAAATTTTTGTGAAGACTTTGACTGGAAAGACCATCACCCTTGAGGTTGAAAGCTCCGACACCATTGACAATGTTAAGGCTAAGATCCAAGACAAGGAAGGCATTCCCCCAGACCAGCAAAGGTTGATCTTTGCGGGCAAGCAGCTTGAGGACGGCAGGACCCTTGCTGATTACAACATCCAGAAGGAGTCAACCCTTCACTTGGTCCTTCGTCTTCGCGGTGGGATGCAAATCTTTGTGAAGACCTTGACTGGCAAGACAATCACCCTTGAGGTGGAAAGTTCTGACACCATTGACAATGTTAAGGCCAAAATTCAGGACAAAGAAGGTATTCCACCAGACCAGCAGAGGTTGATCTTTGCCGGAAAGCAACTTGAGGACGGCCGTACCCTTGCTGATTACAACATCCAGAAGGAGTCAACCCTTCACTTGGTCCTGCGTCTCCGAGGTGGAATGCAAATCTTCGTGAAGACCTTGACTGGCAAGACTATTACCCTTGAGGTGGAAAGCTCCGACACCATTGACAACGTAAAGGCCAAGATTCAGGACAAAGAGGGTATCCCACCAGACCAGCAAAGGTTGATTTTTGCTGGCAAGCAGTTGGAAGATGGAAGGACATTAGCCGATTACAATATTCAGAAGGAATCAACCCTTCATCTTGTGTTGAGGCTCAGGGGAGGTATGCAGATTTTTGTGAAGACCTTGACTGGGAAAACCATAACTTTGGAGGTGGAGAGTTCTGATACCATTGACAATGTGAAGGCTAAAATTCAGGACAAGGAGGGAATCCCACCGGACCAGCAGAGACTGATCTTTGCAGGGAAGCAACTTGAAGATGGAAGGACTCTGGCGGACTACAACATCCAAAAGGAGTCTACTTTGCACCTTGTCCTCCGTCTCCGTGGTGGTTTTTGAAGGGGTCTGTTGCTGTTGGTGTTTTGTGTCTGTCTGTTGCTGTGTTTGTTCATGAACTAGTCTGTTTACTTGTGACCTTGTGATGTGTTGTGAACTCATGTTTTTCTTATAGTGAATAATAAGGAACTAGTCTGGTTTAATTATGTTTGGCATCAAGGTTGGTTTACTTATGTTTGTTATTGACTCCTTTTTCTTTTTGATACATGCCAAAGCTTTCCATTTCGCCGGATTGGAAGAGTCATCAATCAATATGATCTCTTTTGTAGGAGGCGTTTGGCCATTTCGACATATTATCTGTGTTGATTTTGTGCTTTTCTTTTCTTTTTGATAATTGAGCGATTTTCTAAGGTAAACACCTGTATGGTTTAAGTCTACTGATAAGAGCACAACGCATGAATGTTGTTTTATTAGGAACACTTTTAGTTGAATCCAATATGATTACTATCCCCTAATGAACACGAATTTAAATCAGTCAGGCTTCCGTACTCAAACACCTCATACAAAATAAAACAACAAATTGAAATTAGTATGGCAACTATGTTTGTTGGTTTTGAATATTCTTCATGTTAGATTTGTTAATTATATAGAACATCCATTGATCTCTCATCTTCTCGGATTCTTCAAAGAAACCTCTTATTTTATTTTTTCTGTATTTTGTGGGTTTGTTTTAAATTTTGAAAAAAAAAAATAAATATATTTATGTCATCACTTAAAAATTTTTACTCACTTAAAAGGAATAATAAAACATTTTTAGACCAAAATATTGACGATTTATACTAAACTATTGACTGAAAACATTTTTGTTCAGTTTCACATAATTTAAAAATATTTCGAACTTTTTTCTATTAAATAACTAATAATTTCTCAAGATATAATTATAACTTTTTTCCGAAAATAATAGGTTCACGAGCATCCCATTGTTCAACGTCGTTGATTGCATTGGATACATCATTCTTATGCGACGTCCATGGACATATATGTAATGTATCAGGATGTTGAACGATGTAACAAGACATATAGCTTATATCAACAAAATAATATATCGAAACGTAATGTACCGAGACGTTGACGGTGTATATGTTATCCTTATATTTTTGGGCAAATGACAACAATCACATACTTTTAAGGTAAAATTACCATTTGTTCCTTATAGTTTATAGCTACAGAAATCCTTCAAACTGATACAATAATATAAGAGACGATACATTAATCTGATACGCGAGATACATTAATCATTAATTAAGATACATTACATTTTATACATGATACACTAATTTGATGGGCGAGATACATTAATCTGATGCGCTGATACATTAATTTGAGGCGCAAAATATATTAATCTGATCCGCTGATACATTAGTCTGATGCACAAAAAATAAGAAATTTTGTGAATTTATAATACTAATGAAAATAATGACAATAAGAAAACTTAAATGTGAGAATTCTGTCATTTTCCTTTAGGGGATTTTTGGAAAAGAATAGGGATAGAGTAAGGCCCAATTAAATATAAATGAGGCCCAAGTCCTCAACCGACATAAGCCCAAAACCCGAAAGCTCTATTAATTTTCAATGTAGTTTAATTTCTCTTTATTTTGCTCGAGACTTATCCGAATCTGTAAAGGGTCTCTCTCAAAACCCTAATTTTTCAGGTAATTTTTAATTGCAAATTGTTTGTTAATATTGATTTTCCTTAGATCTGCTTAAAAAAACTGATTTATAGTCTTTACATGTGATAAAAATCTGATTTTTATGTATTTTTTGGGTAATTTTGATCGGTAGTGATTCGATTTAGACTTTTGATGTGCTAAATTAAAATTTAATATAGAAAAAACTGAATTTTTATTTGAAAGATTTTTTTTTGGGGGGGATTTTGAGCTTAGCGAACATATGTGTCTGTATTTTTTTGATGATCTGCTAAATTAACTGTTTTTGTGGTTCTGTGTTTGGGAATTTTCATTTCGCAAGTGATATGATTTTAATAGATTTAGTTTAGTGTTTGTTAAATTTTAGATGTGATGTAAATCTGATTTTTAGTTGAAAGTTAGCTTCTTTTTTGGGAATTTTATTAGTGATTTGATTGCTATGGCTTTAGCTTAGGGTGTGGTAATTTTTTTATCCTTGGATCCACTGAACTAATAGAGAATCGGATTTTTGTTTGAAATTCTTACCTTTTTTGGGAATTTTATTTAACAATTTGATTTGCATTTAGCCTGGTGTTTGTGATTGTAACGAAGGGAATAACAGTTCAATTTGACATACTTTAAGGGCATGTTTAGGCTTTTCTGCTTATTAATCGTTTAATCAATTGCATATTTGGATTGGATCAACTATTGATCAATAAATTATTAACGAAGGGCATATCTGATCAAGTTTATATACTTTTAAGTGCTAATTCCGCCTGTTTTCATTGCTTCATTGTTGTGAAAAGTTTCTTCGAGGAACTATTATCTTGTCAGTATCTTTGTCTAGTTGTTTTCAATTTTAAAGCAAAAGATATGTTCAGGGCGTCTTTAACTTCTTTTTTTGTGTCATGTTTTTTATTTTAACTCCTTTGATTTGTTGTTGTGATCACGCTTTGAATGAACCAGATTTTCTGTGAAGAACTGTTTCCTTGTAGATTTTTTGGCGTCATAATATAGAACTTAGTAATATTTTTTTTGTTTGTTTTGTTGGCCTTATGTTAGTTGTTGGACAGGGTTTCATGCCTGATATATTGGTGTCTCTGTCCTGCAATATTGCTTGATGCCATCTCTTTAATATGTGCTCCTCTTTGTGGGGAAGTTTGCTTATGATTTCTGTTTGTATAATTGATGAATCTTCTCTTCTACGCTAGATCTGAGCATCCAAGTTTGGTGATTTGAGCAAGTTTATCTTTTTTCTCAGCAAAGTTTCATGTCTGATCTCGACCTCCAAGTTCCCGCTGCTTTTGGTATGCGACTTGTCTGATGTATTATTAATTCTCAGTTGAATTGGTATTTATTTTTTGTAAGATCACTTTAAAGATTTGCTAGTGACAACTTTTAGTTCAAATGGAGCTACATGGTTAGTGTGAACTATATATAGCTGTGCCAACTTGCTTTGGGATAGTGCTGGTTGTCGGATTAGATGCAAATGAAGCAAATAACTAAATCATCTCGCTAGGTTTGGTTGTGGGTGGGTTTTTTCCAATTATGATTCGTAAAGGATTCATTCGTCCTTGTTTTGATGTCTTCATTAGATCCCTTTGCTGAGGCAAATGCTGATAATTCTGGAGCTGGGACAAAAGATTATGTACACATTCGCATACAACAAAGAAATGGTCGGAAAAGCCTGACAACTGTGCAAGGATTGAAGAAAGAATTCAGCTACAATAAAATACTAAAGGACCTTAAGAAAGAGTTTTGCTGCAATGGTACTGTTGTCCAGGATCCAGAACTAGGCCAGGTTCGTGTTGGCGAGATTGATATCTCTGTCTATCAATGTGTTACAACATTTTACTAATGTAAGTGCTGTGTGTAAACATAATCGAACTTTTACAGGTTATTCAACTCCAGGGTGATCAGAGAAAGAACGTTTCTACATTTCTTGTCCAGGTGATTGTTCTTTGCATCAATAATTCTCACTTGTGTTCATATTATTAGTATATGCTACCATCACGAGGATATTTGTGCTAAATCCGTTATCCTTGCATCCACTTTTGATACGTGAAAATATATTTTGATAGTTGCTAACAATTCTTCGACTTTTTAACTTTCTGGAAACAGGCTGGAATCGTGAAGAAAGAACACATCAAAATTCATGGTTTCTGATTTCCTTCATCAATCATCGTGCAGTTCTTATATTTGTCGTGTCAATGCAGAAAATGCTATCCCAAGTAAAATTATAATAAAGTTAACTAGTGATTTATAAAAAGAAAAAGGGACTTACTAGTGTTAGCTTTCTGCTGGTTTTATTTATAGTACTTTGTCGATTGTCGACAACTCTGCACAGTAGCTGTAGCTATGGATAATGTTGTATTTTCCGGAACAACCGGTGTGTGTGCAAATAGAACTGAACTATGGGCTTTACTATCTTTCAGTTGTTGCTTAGCATTTTGTGCATGTTTGATTTTCTTAGGTGGTATGCCTGTTTTACCTTCTTTTTTTTCTTATTGCGTGAACGATAATCGTTCCGTTTGTGGTTATTTGTGACCTTAAACCTTTTTTTGACCAGACCTGATTAAATTTGGATCGAATGTGGTCTGATAAAAAGTCATGAACCAGCATACCAGAAAATTTAGTTCATGAATTCTATTTTCGTACACGAAAAATGTTTTAAGAGAAGCTTGGTAAATTTCTTCATGGAACTCGAAAAATGTATTAAACTTGACTTTCAAAGATTAATACTGGCTTATTAGGTGTGAGCTCTCTATGTAGTTATTACCAAATATTTATCTCAATATAACTGTACCAGTTGTTCAATTTTCCTTCAATTACTGATATTTTAGGTAGGAAAAGTGAACAATAGCTAATTGAGATGTGTTGGTGTTATAAACCTAGCGATGATATAGATAGGAAATTTGATAGTTTAGGTATGAAACTCAACAAAAGAAGATAACTAAAGTGTATATTTGACCCTAGATCCACGATAACCCAAAAAGCCATATCGAATTTATTTCTGTATGGCATTGGTATGACATTTCTAAAAAACAAAAACAAAAATATCGAATTGATCAATAAACACGTCCTAGAAAGGAAAGGAGATGGAAATACATGTAAATTAGGGTAAAGCATGTCTATTAAGCTTTGATTTTTCTTAAAATTAGTCATACAACAAGTTTATTAAGCTGAAGCAACAACTGCCTCCTCCTCGATGCTGCCTATATCCTCAACTAACTCAACTTTTGGTTCCAAATCAATGAATTGATTAGACTTGCTAGCTAAGTGTGAGATACTCACCCTACCTTCACGTCTAATGTAGTCAGCCACAGCTCTCATTTCTTCTAGTGAGATGTATATGTATTTCCCTCTATCATCCATGACACCAGAAAGTCTCCCTGATCAAAACGAAATAATCTATCGTTCAGTCAACGTGGAGAGAACAAGAATTCACGGCTTCAAGAAAGAACAGTAAAATTTGATAAAAAATTTAAGATAAGGTAAGGAGATACCCATTTCTTCAAGTGAGCTGATACGATTGATACACTCCTGCA